TAGAACTGGGGGTGGCGTACAAAGTGCATCAATTTCGCCGAACCTGTTTTAATGCACCTGAAGCTGGTCGTGTAGGTCGAAACGTGCGTGTTATGTAAAATATGACGACACACAAACCGAAAGAATTTTAGAAGTTAAAAATTGCATTTTGAACTTTAAAAGTTTTAGTATAAGTTGCACTTGGGGTGCAAGCTGGTTTTTGTTTAACGCCGCTTCATCAACTGCAAAGGTGTTACATCATTACGTGGAGACTTGTTCATGAAGGTAATTTAGAAGTATGTTCGAGGAAGTGGTCGTGGCTTATAACATGGTCGGAAAACACGAAGGGCCTTGCTTAAAGACGGGATATTCGGCCCTGGGACTTCTGGAATATGAAGCAGTTCTGATAATGACGTCAGCCATCTTTTTATCATTCTTCTTACTGGGGTGAGACTACGTCCACATGGTATTGCGGCCACTGCTGGCCTATTGTGCCAGCCCTAGGTGATTGATTATGATGGAGAATTTGGTGGAATGAAGATTGGCAGGAGAAACCGAAGTACTCGGAGAAAACCTGCCTCAGTGCCACTTTGACCACCACAAATTCCACATGACCTGAACTTCGCTCGAACCCGGACCGCCGCGGCTGGAAACCAGCGACTAACCGCCTGAGCTATAGCACGGTCTTCATCTTCTAGTGCAGGGGTCTCCAAACTTTTCGAAACGCGGGCCACATTAGGTAATTCAGCACTTTCAACGGGCCGGATAAAATGAGAAATCAATAACTCTAGGTATATGAGTTTTATTGAAAGCACAGAATTTCATAAACTAAATACAAAGTACGTGAGAATAAATTATCGTACATTAATGAAAACAGACAGAAGCAGCAAATGCTCATATTTTCATAAAAAATTATAATAAAACAATTAATGTGAATGATGGAACTCTTTTTGCATTCTTAAAATCTGATTAAATTGAGGTTCAAATTTTGAAAAGCTGATCACAAGTAGCGACTTTAAAAAATGTTCATCGGATAAATTTGCCCTGTATTTCGACTTGATGTACTTCATCTGGGAAAAAGTTTGTTCACACAGATATGTCGCCCCAAAAATGGAGACAAATTTACAAGCAAA